AGAGTCAATAGAATTCAAAGCTTCAACAATTTCACATTCATTTGGTTATGTAGAAAAATCAGGTAAATCAGATAAACCTACAATACTAGGAAAAATACCGCATTCAAAGACTAAAAGATCCATCTTCACCACTTTAAAATGATTATCAAAGAAATCTTTACCCCTTTAAAAAGATTATTAAAGAAATTAGCAACACTCAAAACAATGTCATCCTGTAAAAACAACCATTCTCCATAATCAATTTTAATATTTGGGATGGTATTAGATTGTTTTTTTTGTTTTAATACAAGAATGAAAAAAATAAGTATTTCTACACCCCTCCACATGACTCAAATATGTAGATTTTTGTCTAAGAAAATCCACTTGAACTTGAAGAGCAATATTAAGAACATTTTGCATTCAAAAGTTCAGCATCCCCAATAAGGCCCTAGTCAAAATCTACTTTTAACTTATTCATTAACAACTCAACTTCAACCATTTTCTTATTCACATCACCAAATATGTTTCAATTCTAGTCTTTCAAATTTCTAGCCCTTCTCTTATGCAACAACCATAATGAAATCCAAGGAGAGCTATTTTCAGCAACACAACTTCCTTTAACCACCTCTAAAAACTTCTCATGTTCAGTCTAAACATTCATAAATTTGAATTGAGAACCACCAGCTCTAGTTAATTCTTCCACCCTTAGTAATAAAGCTGAATGCTCAGAGCCAATTCTATTGAGATGAGACGCTTTAGTCACTTGAAAAGAATCCAACCAATCTTTATTAATAGGTATTCTATCCAATCCTTACATTATTCTCCCTCTTTGTCAAGTAAGCATACTCCATGTGGTCTTTGCCTCGTATTGCCTAGCATGAATGATATTATTTTTGAAATTTTCCATCACCTTGAAATAAGGAGCCTTGCCTCCTCTCTTTTCAACAGATGAAGTGAGAACATTAAAATCTTCTCCTACTATCCAAGGACAATTTACATGAAACTTAACCAAACCCAACTCCTCCCACAATAAAGTTATGTCCAATGAAGAACCCTGCATAGACAATGGGAGTCTACACTAATTGTTGCTTAGCATGAATATCATGAAGAAACTGTGGCTTATCAACCAACAACTTCACTTTTATTTATTTTTTTTCCAGAAAAAACCAAATTTTATTATATAGTTATAAATAACTTTATAGCTGCCCAACTTCCTTACAATCTTAGGAATATTCTACAAGTTTATAATGGGTCTAAAATCACTAAACATCAAATTTTATGAATCTTACACAGCTTCATTAATTTGTTAGAGACCTGACACTTAGCAACGCCCCTAACATTCCAAATAAGAAACTTAATCATTGAAATAGGATCTACTTCTTCTAATAATTTTAGAAGGAGCACCATCATTCACATTTGCAAGTATATCAACAGTAGCTCTATTAGTAATTTCCAAAACATCCTTTGGATTCATATAGCTCAATTTTCTGCTGAGTCTTTATTTCTTCTTTCTTGATCCATGAATCTACCACTCCTCTTCCAAATTATGTTGAGCAATGTTTAGTTCTTCTGTGATATGCACATCTTCTTGTACAACCTCAGGATTCCCAATATCAGTCAATAACACCACAGGAGCTTTTAAATTTTGATCCCCTCTGCCAACCACATATTGAAAATCATCTACCCCAGGGGAATGATCACCTCAACCTGCAAGATGGGTTGACATAATTTTAAATTTTGATCCCATCTTTGGATGTCTCTTCCAAATTATGTTGAGCAATGTTTAGTTCTTCTTTTGTGATATGCGCATCTTCTTGTACAACCTCGGGATTCCCAATATCAGTCAATAACACCACAGGAGCTTTTAATATTTGATCCCCTCTGACAACCACATATTGAAAATCATCTACCCCAGGGGAATGATCACCTCAACCTGCAAGATGGGTTGACATAATTTTAAATTTTGATCCCATCTTTGGATGTCCATAAGTGAATTTCCCAACAAGACATAATTTTAAAGGTTCCACCAATCTATTCATCTCCAATTCAGAGAAAAAAATAGGTTGTTTCCCTCTTTTCCTTCCCGCTCTTTTAAAATAACCACAATCAACCCCTTCTTGATTAAAAAGAATCATGAAAATGATTACGAAAACATGGTGATTTACCATTAATCCCCTCTTGACCTCAAGGAGCTTCCACAAAAGATTGAGACGCAATCAAACCACACTAGAAAACACTACGAGCCAGAAAGAACCAGAATAAAACTTCAAACCATGCAAAAAAAAAGGATCTTAAAAGAAACACAATTACCAAAAAAAAAAAACTAACAAAAAAAGTGATAACAACAACGATTCCAAAAGAAAACCGAATAAAATCATGAAGAAACATGATCCCAAACCTTAACGAGATCTCCATGTGGAAATTTGAATCATGTCTGCTTGAGGATTCGAACCCTAAAGCCGCCACCAACTCACCTACACTAGGTGCAGAATTATATATATATATATATATATATATATATGTGTGTGTGTGTGTGTGTGTGTGTTTGTGTGTGTGTGTGTTGCATACTTAGATCAGTTAGTTGGACATCTGCTTGTTAGTTATAAGTACCCTATGGTCTAGGATTTGATTCCCCTCGGTGGAGGGTGTGGTACTCGAATTGTTAGGCACATCGGGGATGGTCGGGCCTCTTATAATAACCTCAGGTCATTCCTTTTTAAAAATTATATATACATATGAGTGATGATTGACAAAAGACATTTCATATGATTAAGCTCACATTTATTTACTATGCTCGCATGCTCATCACTTCATTAATTTATGTAAACTACAATCATGGTGGTTTATATAAAATGAATTAATCATCACCAATCTTATTATTAATCTTAACATCATTGTACATTTATTCATTTACTTTAATTTACTTTATGAACCTTCCATAATCATTCCTTAATACTAAATATTATTTTAAAGGTTAGCTTTATTTCATGCTTTTTTTTTAATTTTTTTTGCAAAATCTAAATTTTGATTTTTTACATCTCTAATACCCAAAATTTTCATATCACATGAGAAATATCACTACACATTTTCATGCATATGTAAATACATAAAACTCAGTGGTATTCATGTAAAATTTACCTTAAAATAAAATCATGTTGTTTGATAAGAAAATGAATCAATCATCACCAATCTTATTATTAATCTTTTAATCATCATAATTATGTTCTTATATTAAATGTATTAATTAGCTTTATGAATCCTTAATAATTATTCATAATTAGCTTTGTAAATATATTGAATTTCTTTACATATTCATCCATAGGGATGCCACACTATTCTTGTGTATTTGCATATCAAACCCTCGGCATTAATTTTGAAGTAATTATGGAATAAAAAAATTATAAATTAAATCCTTAACTTTTGGTATTAGACATGTAAATACATGGGAATTACTTGATATATACATAATTTTTTTATTCATTTAATAAGAAGCATCTATTTAGACAATGTGGGGAAATATTTGCGTATGTCTAACGTACGCAGAGCTGCATACGTCCGTAGGTTACATGGAAGGTATTGGGGGGTTATATCTGCTGTAACCTCCCTGTAACTTCTAATATATAAAAACAGAAGCGCGGAAATTACTAGTTATAGGTTGGTTACAGTTATGTTACAGGGGGTATAACGCCGATATAACCCCCCAATACCCTCCCTGTAACCTACTGATGTACGCAGTTCTGCGTCGCTAGACATACACAAATATTTATCTACAATGTGATTTTCATGATTTGTTTTTTTTCAATTTTAACAAGATGACAGGGTTGAATCACTTTTTTAAAAATAATAATTGTAATATTTTAGATGTTAAGTTAAGGATTCGAGTCGTATGGATGTAAATGTGAATGTTTATAGGGTTAGATTTGTAAATACATGAGAATTGAGAATTGTGGGGTACGTATGTAAATGGAGGGGTCATATTCTAAATTACTAATTATCTAATGCATATCTTTTATATATAAAGACATATTTAAGGCACACTCCCTCATCCCCACGTTAATTAATCTTTAGTTAACATAGAAATTTGGAGGTTAGATGTGTAAACATAAATTTATTTTTTCAAATTAAAAAAGTCATTTAAGTTTCATATAATTAATTATTTACATTGACCGAAATGATTAAAGAGAGAAAGTGATCCCCATCATCAATCATATAATCATTCCTTTCATCATCACCATTATATTTGTATATTAACTATTTTGAATTAGATTTGTGAATCAATATTAATAATAATTCCATTATCATTAAGTATAATTTGACAAGTTATTTTATATTTATTTATTTATTTTCATAAAATAAACTATTACCTTGCTGTAGTGTTAAATAAGCATGGGTTCTTATGTTATGGACGAATGCGAGCAGAGAAATTAGCCCACGAAACTAATATTATGATAGAATCTTCGAATATGGGTACTATAACATATAAATAAATAAAATTAGTAGATATTATGATTCATAGGAAGATTAATATCTTATGCATTCAAGAAACTAAATGTGCTGAAGAGAATGCTGAGAGATTGATAGTTTATATTTTAAATTTTGATATTCAAATATGAGTCGAATTAGAAATGGTGTAAGCGTAATTATACAAAAGAGTATGAAAAGTAATATAATAAAAAATAGTAGAATTATATTCTTTAAAATAAAAGAATTTCCAGATTGACCAGACCAAGACCTTGATTGAAGACCAACAATGTAAGATCCACCTAGCATTAAATGACAATCATGTCTAAAAGCTTCAAGTGTGACAATCAGTAGACAGGTGTAGCATTAAATGACAATCATGTCTAAAAGCTTCAAGCCACAATCAGTAGACAAGTCGTGAAGGCAGCTTAACAAAGAGTCATCATCCAAAGCAGCACACATCACAAACTCTGTTCATGTAAACCATATAGTTTTGATTTCATATAATTAAGCTTTTGTTAACAACATTGGCATTAATAGGAGCCCCACCCACATCACAGACAATTATTATTCCTTCCAGCAGATTACAGATGGTCAAGGAGGGCCACAGAAAGTTAAATACATCTTTTTTATTTACAATGGCAGAACCTAGAAACGCAGGCTAAAGGCTAATTGATGATACTCTATACAGCTAACAGAGCTGACGAAGGCATTGCTGAAATCTGGCTCGCCGATTCAAAAAAAGGTAATGGCGAGATCTTAGCCAGGTTTATTATGTCGTTCCTTGCCTCGGTGTAATGAAACTCGATCTGCAGGCGACGGTGAAGCGGAGCAGAAGCCATGAATCCCTTCTTGATATCAGCCTCAAGCTCCCTGATAGGAATAGCAGCCAGGAAGCTCTTGATGTATTCCTTGCAGGACTCCTTCCCCCTGCAAATCAAGTCCTCCTCATCAATGGCCTCCTCTTTGCTTTCTTCTGCTTCTGCATCTGCATCAGCATCAGCATCAGCAGTCTTTTGATTGGAAATCCTTTTAATTTCTGTGCTTTGATCGAACTTCAGAATATAAGCCTGGTCACATCCCTCATGAAGTCTCTCGCCGAGCGTATCTATGATGAAATATTCATCGTGCTCGACCTTAAGGACGAAGAAATGATCGTTCCAGCTAACTATGTAGAGGCAATCGGATGACCCGGACGAGTTAATTTCGTCCCATATGTCGTCGAAGGACATGGCGCCGTGCAGGAACTCGAGTCCTCTGTTGTCTTTAAATCCTTCTGGATGGAAGAATCCAACGAAGGACTTGTTGGGGACGACGGACAGAGGACGAACCTTCGCTTGGATGATTGTCTCGAGGTCAAAATGCTTGTCGGGGAACTGCTCTCTGTATGTCTGGTTCTCGCACAGTTTCCGCCATTCCAGAGAGCCTTCTCGAATTAGTGCGTCGAATTGGGATTTGTTAGGCATGACGTCGCGGTTTGAGTTGAACCAGTCCGCAATGATGGCAACCAGAGCAGTGCACGCGCTCTGACCGGATACTCGCTCGCTTCTCTGATCAATCGAGGCGAAGAAAACCTTCGTGGAGAGCTTAAGTTTTCCGTCACGACTTATGAGAGTTTTCGACTCCCAGCTTCCCACGGCAAAATTGTCATCACCAAAGTCTGATGCAAATGAATGATGAACTGATTGATCATCATCAGCCTTGTGCCCCTGAGGAATAAAGAGCATTTTACTAGAATGAGAGAAACTTATGGCATGGCAAAAAATACAACTCGACTGTCAAACAAACCACAGTAGGAAAATTCAAAGGGAAGTTTACACACATACCACACAATTCTTATCCATATATATCATATCCAACAACCAATTTCATTTTTACACTTATAACACCTTGGTGTCATAAACCTATCCATGAAAATATGCATTTCACCTTTTAAAAGTTCTGTTTTTGATGTGATGTTAAAGATCATGTAAATATGAAGGTTTAGAAGTTCGATATGTAAATACATAAGAATTGTGAGGTATGTATGTAAATGCCCCAAATTTAGATTGCGTCTAAAGAAAGAAATAGGTTTGGATCTCAAGCAGCTTGAGTTGGCATCTCAAAAAAGTGATTTATATTATAAGGATTTGTTGTACTATCATTAATAAGAGGAATCTGGCAATAATTACCATATACCGGGAAAAAAAAAAGGGTAGGAAATTTCAGCAAAATAGCATACCATTCCAGAGAAAGATTCATCAGAGGAAGTCAATTGACGTCGGTCATAGTCAATATCATCTCCTCCCTCTTCTCGATAAGCCTTCTTTAACAAAGGCTCACCTTTGGCCTTGGGAGATTTATATTTCCTCGTTCTCCAAGGAAGTATGCTTCTTTTAGTGGACTGTGAAATAAATTGCTGCTCTGTAACGGACGGTGCCGTCTCCTCAACAGGCGAATAATCAACATCAGATCGACGGCGATTATGATAGACACAATCTTCATACTCTCCATTAAAATTTGTCTCACAAGAAATGACACCATCAACAAAGTTTGAATTTGAAAGTGAACCATAACTGAATGACTTTCTTATAATAGAATCACCTTTTCTATCTTCAAGTTCTTCATCAGGATTATCATCCATGGAATCTGAATCAAATTGGTAGTTGTAGTCAGCATCTTCGCTACCAGCAGAATACCTTCCATCGCTACCTTCATCTTCTCGGAATGTCTTTTTTGACTTCCTAGCAGAAATAGGCTCTGTAAATATCTTTCCTTTCCTCAACCCAGCTTCCTGAGCCAAACTTTCATCTTTCTCATAAGAAGCATCTCCAGGTGGAGGAGACAAGGGAGCTGGAACGACATGCCTCTGCACAATCTCTGGTGATTCAGGGCAGCTTCTACATTCCAGCAATTTCAGAGTCAACTGCAACATAAAAAAATATTTGCCATATGAAATAATTAAGGATACACAACATTTGGCAGAGAGAATAATAGCACAGTTTAAGAAGGCAAATCACATATTACACAAGAGATTAAGTTAGGGAGTCACAAATAGGAGTGTAACTTAGTCAAGCCGAAGCTTGAGCCAGCTCGTGCTCAGCCCAATAACTAGTTCGTGAATTGAGCTCCATGAGCTAATAAGTCAATCTCATGCCAGGCTCAACTCTACTTATTAGCTCGCGAGCTGGCTTGTTTAAAAAATAATTAGTATAATATATTCTCAAAATATATTAAAATTTAAATTTTCATTTTTAAATGATTAAAAATGTTTAAAAAATGATATTTTATATTTTATATGAAATGATTTCTTATTATTTATCTCCTAATTACTCATTTGATTTATCATTTCATAATAACACTAACTTTAATTGATATTTCTTCTCTCTTTCATAATAAACAAGCTAAAGCCGAGGGTGGCTCGAGCTTGACTTGACTCATTACACCCCTAAGCACAAATAGAAGCATATGGAAGTGCACTAAAGTTATAAAAATGTACATCAACATGAAAGAATCAATTCAAACGTACATGAAGTATCGGTGGCGAATCAGGATTAGCATTTGGTATTGACAACGGCAGGTTTAGCTCAAACTCTTCTCCAGACAAAGAAGCGTATTCAGCGAGATTCAAAGAAGTCATTCCAACAATGGATGACTTGTTCTTGAACACTTGCTTTACTCCCTAGAGAAAACAGAGTAGCTGATTAGGGTTCCATTTTATGCAGTTCAGGAGGCAAATAAGTACAGAATTTACCCTTCCAACTGCAAAAATAACTAGCAAAAACCAAATTTTTAAAGGAATCAATACACCATGGGAAAAGCAACATCCAATATTCTATGGCAGTAGTATGAGAAGATAACCTTGATTAAGAATAAATTTGACCGTATATCAGAAAATTGATTCAACTTTGGGATAACGGTTCACAATGACCAAAATGAGGTTAAATTTTACATCCATAGATGATTTGATAATCTGATTGTTCTCAAACTAATAACTTTGCAGCTTTGTAAATTACATATGCTGGCTAGATTACTGTCAAGTACATAAGAAAAGAAAAAAAAAAACTTCTATTCAATAATTAGGAAGTTTGCTATTTAATTTAGGGGCTGGTTGGTAATGGATTCAGTAAATTATGTAAATACAGATTTAATAACTCCTACCAAAGTCCGGGATTTAAGGCAAAACTAAGAAAAATTTAATAAGAAACTGGATTTACTATATCCCGGATTAAAAAATTGCCATTTTTTCTATCTAGGAAGATACAAGTTAAATCTAACTTAAATCTGTTACCAGACAGCCCCTTAGTGTTTCCGATAATACATTAACACAGCAAACAAGTATAACGATTTCACTTGTTTTTGGATATATTGGAATTTGGAGGACAGAAAGCAATTGAAAGAAGACAGGCACAGCTGCAAAATAGAAGTCCTTATAATGGATTTTTCTTTCCGAACCATTCTTGTTAGCTAGTATACTAATCAAGAAAAAGGTGTACCTATGACAATGTTTCAGTTAAATTGATTCCTACGTTTGGTGATTTTGTCTGAAAGCATAATCCTTAAATACATAAATTCATAGCCCCCAAGAAGCCATTGGATTGTAACCAATAAAAATAATAAAAAAAAAGGCATGCACATCCTTTATCAGGTCAAAATTTCCGATTCCAGATCCCAGAATAAACCATGCTCCACTATTTGACCGTATAAAAGAACATAAATTAAAAAAAAAATTTTATGCGAATGCGCATGCAGAGATAATTTTCATCAAAAAAAAGAAAAGGAAGAAAAAAAAGTAATTAACCAAAATCATCTGTCAAGCAAAGACAATAAAGATCACAAAATAACAAAACCATACCAATAAAAAAAGGCGGACAATATGCAATCGAATCATCTATCAACTCAGTTAAGACTAGCAAAAACCCAAATCCAGAAACAACATTCAAATTCCTCCTTCCTAATATCCAATTGATACCCACAAGATAACCTAAAATGACAGTTGACCATATAACTCAATGAAATTTTCCCATAAATTTCTTCAAGTCCAGGCAAAATAATAAACCATGCCTCACTCTTTGAGCGTCTCATCCAAAGATCAACAGATTTATTTCCACCTATATAAGAAATCCTCAGGCAGAAATCATCTTATAAAAATTTGATCAAAACTGTCCAAACAACAACACCCAAATCGACAAAAAATTAAGTAAAAATATGAAGAGAATCCAGAACACATCTGAAAAAAAGAAATAGAAAAAAAAAGTATGGGATGGACGACTTACATAGAAAACGGCAAACCCAATCTCCCACGGGTAAAACACGTTCTCCTTCTGCCCCGTAAGCCCCACCACACTCACGAATTCCTCGTTCCACTCCACACCCCCTTTCTCCCCTTTCACCTCTTCCTCCCTTGTGCAGTTCCTCCTCACCTTCCTCCTCAACGAGCTCAGCGCCTTCATCCTCGGCCCCTTCCACCTCACCTCCGCCGACATCACTCCCGCACCTCCCGAAATCTCCGTCCCCATCTGATCCATCGCCACCCCTTCGATTGCACGTACCACCACCGTCACCTCGAACTTCCTCAACACATTCGGCGGCCATGGCCACCGTACTTAACCCTAGATCCCCCCAATTCCAACCTCAGAAACTCAGCACCATCACCCGCCTCGCATTCCCTCCGCCTCCTTCACCTGTAATACCTCGCCGGCCGAACACCAATGGCTGATTCTAGAGAGAGAAAGCAGAGATGAGAGAGAAATATCCAAACTTTTTTCTAGTTTAGAAGTCGCGTCGGAGGACACCCGGGTCTGCTTTTATAATCTCAGATCTGACGGCGTCGGAGAAGCTGAGAAGGTATAATGACGGAAATGCCCTCCCTTTACAACTAGCTTTTTGTTTATAGAGACTGCATACGCTACGTTACGTTTCGCTCTTTTTTTTATTATTTATTCTAAACGATGCGTTCACACGATAATAGAGAGAGGGGTTGTTTGGTCCAGATAATTTTGCAGGGATATTTATTTATTCATTTTAAATATAATAATTTTAAAATATTAAAAATTACATTTATATTAGATAATTCAATGAAGTTAGATATCTCACTTGCAAGATGAGAACTCAAAATTTCAAATTTCATGTTGTATACATAAAAAATATTAGTACAAATCTTTCGAGGTAAGCAATTAGCAGATGATTCAAGATCGAGCATGAAGCCGCATCTCCAAACTTGGGATAAGTTCAAACTCTGGAGATGGTTCCCTTTGGGTAATGGTAACACCTGCTGAAAGTGAGAAGTAAATTATCCAGGCAACAAGTCTCATTGGAGACCCCGCATAATTGTAACAAGATTCACCTAAGACCTTGCAAGATAAAGAGATCTGGCCATATTTGACGGACCAACCCTGCGTTCGGACTGAACGACCATCTCATAATTGATCTATTTGGTTGACAGTGTCAAAAGACACCGAGCCAGATCACCATGCAGTCGAACATCTCGACTGACCAATGTGTACTTCAAAGGGCACATATGTCCCTTGATCGGTCCCTTCAGTAGTATGACTTGAAGCAAGTTGACTAGTCAATTACCGTTAATGTTGAAATTCAAAATGTAATGCAAATATGACATGAAATTCATACAATCAATTAGAACCTTAATGGCATTCAGAACATTTTTCATAACAATTCTCTCATTTCTGTAATTCTACAGAACATGTCTCTATTAGTACAGGACAAAGATACAAATAAAGAGACCTATCCCTTGATTCTCCCACAAAAATTCTAGATTATTCTATTCGCTCTTCGCTCTCTCCTTCACTTGGCTCTAGCACTCGGGGCGTGATTCACCAAGGACAAATTATGATCTAGCATCTTAAAAGATAATGTGGTGAGCATGAACAAGCCTCGGATGAGAGACAGAGTTAACTACGAAAGAGAAACTTTCCAAAGAGAGATAACTCACATGGAACCCAACAATGACACTACACAACTAGATGTTCATACGCAGATCCAGAGCTTATAAGCCCAAACGGCCCCATGATGGAGCAATTTGAGGTCCTCTGGGCAGCAATCATCTAAAGGAACAACTACTTTGCCTGGATGCGGAACACAAGGAGTTTGTCCCCGAAACTAGGGAACTAGCATATCCCACACAGCTAGGTCAACAACCAACAGATTGAGGAACAAGGTGAGTCCCAACACACAAAAACAGACGCATCCGCACTTGTGAATAGGCTATGGGAATAACGGATGCGAGGGCTAGTCCGACCACTCCTAGGAGGAGCCTTTACTTGCCAAATCAAAGAGATAATACCTCTGCTCAGCTAAGGATTCCTCGCTTGAATTCTTACAAAGGGATGACCGGCCCGATCAATGACGTCGCGTCGTTCGAATCATCCGTCGGTCTGCTTCCGATTGATGACCCAATAATGTGTTGTCTCTTCTTAACAGCGGTGAGAGAATCAGCACTCTGGTGGTTCAACGGCCTGCCAACCAAAGCCATCCCAAGTTACTACGAGTTTAAGAGACTCATCGTTTCATAATTCTTAAACGTGCATAAGCCAAGGGAAGACTATGACATCATGCTTGACCTCAAGCAGGGAGAAAAGGAGAACCTATGAGCCTACATCACCCTCTTCCAGAATGAGATGCATAAAGTTAGAAATCTGCAACCCAAAATAGTCGGAACAGCCTTGAAGCGAGGAGTCCATAGCGAGCGATTTAGGTATGACCTAAATTCATTTAAACCTACCACTTTTGTAGAAGTATTAGAGATGACGAATGAGCACATACTCACCGAAGAAGACCTCCAGAGCTCCTCGAAGGGTAGGCCACAACCATCCAACTACCTATCAAAGAAGCGGAAAGAATGGGGGAAACAACAAAGGGTGAGGGACAAGCAGTCCTCGACCGGTCACCAAAACAACAACCCTCGATCCCAGGATCAGCGGGGAGATAACTAGGGCACAGTGACTTGAAATGACACTGACCAGTAATCATTTACCCATTGTCTTTATAGACGCATATCTCCCACCTAAGGGGAATCCCTACAACGAAGCAATCATCATCACAATAATAAAAAACTACTAGATGGGAAGCATCCTCATCCTCATTGATACTGGGAGAGCGGTGAACTTCCTATTTGAGATGGTGTTTGATAAGATCGGCTTGAAGACTAACCGGTTGATAGCCCCGGCTGACCCGTTATTTGGATTCCTTGAAGAAAGAAAGGAGGTGTTGGGCCTTGTCGCCTTTGTCATCTCTTGTGGAGAACCTAAGAAGCAGTACAACAGTACAGAGAATTTCCTCATGGTGGAATCTCCTCCGTCCTACAATGTTATCTTCGGTCGGCTACTTCTGAATATCTATCGGGATAGCTTCTACCTATCAAGTGGCGATAAAGTTCCCAGGCGACGGGGAAGTAATTATTGTCGGGGAAAACTTGGAGCAGTCTAGAAGTTGTTATTTCCGATCGGTTTCAAGCGTCGACCATGAGCTGCTCGACATCCAGATTCATAGGGAGGGGCCTCGAGAGCAGGGAGGCCATCCTCCAGTTGCCAGTGTCTGACGCAGAACCCGATAAGGCTTTTCCGATCGGTGAACATTTTAACTCGTGACTCGGGAACCAACTGATACACATGCTTTGGGAGCACCAGGCCGCAACAATATTTGATATTTATATTTATAACATTGACAATCTATAGCTCACTCTTAAAAAAATTAATAATAATAACCACTTTTATACAATATTAAGAATTTGAATGTTAAATATAAATATTTGGATATTAGATATGTACAAAAATAAGAAGCTTTATGCATTAAATATGTAAATATAAAAGAAGTGAATGATGCGTATGTAAATATATTTTTAAATATATAAAAAATTACGGATAATCTTAGCGTAATGTGTTCCCGCGTGAGAGTGAGATCCCAATTATTAATTGACAATTGACTTGATCTGCCCACGTGCCAAGCTGTCATTTGCCAGATTGACAATTCCAAGGCCGGTGATAGAAAATTATTTAATTTTAATATCATTATTTTATTTAATTAAAATTTGACCGTTTTTTTTTAAATTATATTAAAATTTTAGTTCTATAGTTAGTCTTGAAAAAACTATTTTTAAATTAAATTTAATTTACTATGACTTTTCAAAGAATTTATCTTGATAATATTTTCAAATAAAAATTTTATTGTAAGAAAAAAATATTTTGTTGGATATTTTTTGTTTTAGATAATATTGAGGTGTGAAAATATTTTTTTTTTTATATTTTAAAATAAAATTATTGAGAGAGGTCTGTTTAAAGATTACTAGGACATTTGGCATTTCGATTTGGCTTTGTGGCACTAACTTTACAAAATTAATGGTCTCTTAAGACTTCACCATCTACTCATAATCAGAGATTCATGTGTGTTTAATTGTTCTGGTATCTGGAGTGCTCTCGAGGGAATGTATTCCACTTGGTTAAGGCACTAACTTTACAAAATTAATGGTCTCTTAAGACCTCACCGGCTACGAACGACTAACATCCAACAAAATCTACTCACAACCAGAGATTCATGTGTGTTTGATTGTTCTGGTATCCAGAGTGCTCCCGAGGGAATGTATTTCACTTGGTTAATTATATATTGAGGCTGCCCAAGAATACTCTTGATCGAGAGAGTTTTGCTTACATTTAAATTGACAACTAGCACAGGGTTATCAAAAGACGGTTATTTTGCATGAGAATGTTTCGATGCTTTCAAAGCTCCAGCTAAGCCGCATGGTGGAGAGTGAGTCTCTCATGTTCTCACATGGATAGCGGACTCATCGGCATACGGAGCCTACGGAATAACCGAATCATCCTAACGGGACGGGAATCTCGATACGTTAAATCACATCCGGGTCATAATAGCATATAACAAATCGTCGTATTCCAAACGGGAGGCAGCTCATCAATTATCGTCGTATCCCAAACTTTATAATAAATTTCATAAGAATTTATGAGGGGGGCTATGGGCTCTTGTGTCCTCCATAATAATTGATAAATACTACTACAACAATGTTATTTGCTATTTCTCTAAAAGATCATTTCATTACCCATCCATAATCTAACCTTCATATAAAGTGTTATTTTAGAATAATAATATGTTTCATTCAAAATGCAACAAAACATGCCACTTCCAAATACTTTAACACAACCTACAAGGATTAAATAATGGGATGTAAATAAATAACTATGTATAAGTTATAAGAATTTTATAAGAAATGGTATTCTTTTCTCATGTTTTGGTTAATATATGCATAAAAGGTTGTGTCATTAATACATACCAAAGCATGTTATCTCATGTCTCATTTTTTTTTTCTAATGGTATTAAAAAATTATGTATAGAAAACCTAACATGTTAGTCAAATATAGCACCAATGGTAGGTAGTTGATATGTGCTCTTTGGATTGTCATCATTGACTTGTTTTTAATACAAGTTTATTTCCTATTTCTCATTAGCTTTATTCACTATGATATGAGCCCTTTAAATTTCAATATCAAGTTGATTTTTAGTTAATTGGTTGAGTGATATGAATTTGATTATAAGATGATAAGTTGCTCTAACTTTGCCCCAAATAAGCTAATGATAGTAAAAGTGGAAAACATTAAAAAAAAAGATGCAAAGATTTATATTAATTTGTTATTTTGAGTGTAATGAGGGATTTGATTGCAAATTCTTTGCTCTTCCAAATACTTTTAGTAATCATTTATCTCTAAAGGCATCATTAACACTTTAATTTTGTCATTTGAAGATGAATTTTAATTTGATTTACCTCAACAAAATCATATTATTAACTAAGGACCCGTTTGTGGCAGCTTAAAACTGCGGGTGACATTTTGAAAAAACCGTCGTGGCCTTTGGATTGTGTGTTCCGCGTGCGTATCTTAAAACGACGTTTTAATTTTGTGAAACACGCAGCCCACGGGATGACCTCTGCAGGCTGTGTATTTCCTTCAGTGCCCCGCGTCTTCTCCCTCGCTCGCAGGAGACAACCGCTTGCTAATCGAACAAAGATAGGAACGTGGCGCTGCAAGCTGCGATGGAAGTCGGGACACAATGTTGCAGGATGGCTTCACGCTCGTGTAGGTTGTAAACGAGCTAATAGCCCTCCGCGAAACATTAGCTAGTCAGCAAGTTGCGATATAGGAGCTTTCCGTGGAGCTTGAGGAGGTGTGAAATGCGGCAGCGACGACCCCAAGCGAGAAAATGTCGATGATCCTTCGCCTACAACGTGAAAAGCAAGCGAGACAATGTCGATGATCCTTCGCCTACAACGTGAAATGCCAAGGTACAAATGTGATGGTTTTGGGCAAAACTGGGAGGGAGGGGTGAGATGTAGTTGCGGGTTTTGGGCAGGAGAGGTAGTGGGGAAGTGGGGTTGAGGCTTTAATTTGATTTTATTTATGTTAGCTTTCATTAATCTAATTGATTAATAACTAAAACAATTTTCTATTAGAACTTTAGCGACAATGTCAGCAGAGCTTCTCTCCATCTTTTCTTGTTGTCTACTTTCATTTACCTCTGTATGGCACTATATCTGATGTTAATTTTTTCATTGAAGGATTGCTTTAGAGGTCGTTCCATAGGACATAAGAATTGTCTGTATGTAAATGCTTCTGTATGATACTGATGTTAAATTGAAAAGTTTAGTTGTTAGACATGTATATACATAAGAATTTTGTGGTATGTAAATGCTCCTTAGCAGGTATGAAAATGCTCCTTAGCATTTATGTTGCACTCATCTGAAAACATTTCTTCACCTAATTCCATTTCTTCACCAAATTCCAGTATTTTCACCCAATTTTCCCTTTATTTGCTACCAGTAAGTGGTGATATGATGGAATCTTAAGATGGTTCACTTTCTTTTCTGCTATTCAAGATGAGTAATGCTACATCTACTATATTCCCAACAATAAACTCTTGGAATTTCTTTTGCAAGCTAAGGAAACTGAGTTAAGAAAATATCTACTTGCCCTACTTTATGTTGAGACTAAAAGATGGAGCACTGAACTCCAATGTTCTGTAAGTAGATCTTTAAACCAATTAGTCCTAAACCCTGATATCACAAGAGGAATTAGACAATGTTAATCTTTGAAGAAAACTATTTAAGAAGTTTTTCCTACCATTATTATGTAACAATCTGAACTGTATTCCATTGAGATTTTTTGTTTTCGTTTACTCCTGAGTTTATTTAATATCCAACCAATTAGCTTTAAAAGTATTTCAAATATATTTCATATTTTTTATAGTGCATACATTTATCTTTTGAGGTAATTGAACTATTCGAGTAGTTTTTTGTTATAAGTATTTTGTAGCAGCTTGAACTCTTCCCCACGTGATATTGTGTTGTTGTCTCCAGAATTTGTTTTGGAAGATTTACATACACACCACTCAATTAAATTTTACTTCTATGAATTCATGAATCTTTAGTTGCATCTCCCTTGTATGATTGAATTCAGAAGGTTGGCAAATTTGTAAATAGTAATTTTTTGGTGGTCTGTATGCGAGGAATGAGTTTGAAGGGGTTTAATTGATTCTAAAATATGAACATTGCAGTTTTGTTTAGAACATTACAATTTATGCGTGTCAGATTGTTCATTTATCTAAAAAAATTTGTAAATCCATTGTTTTCAAAATGCATAAAATAAATAACTAAACAATTTATCCAAAATAAGGGCAGAATTGTCATTTACCCAGAATCCGTTGTTTTCGAAACACACAAATCAAACAGTCAGACAGCTTATTCGGATCAGCTGCTGATCAGCAGCTGATCTGGATAATCAACTTATCTGGATAAGCTGGATAAACTGTAGCTGCCCCCAAAGAGGCCCTAAATAGTTTCATAGGGAGAAAAGTGATTCTATAAGAACAGTTAGATCCATTTACATAAACATCTCCAAATTCCTATGTATTTACATATCTACAATGTAGTTTTTACCATTTATATTTATATGACCTAAATCTTTCATGTC